TGCCTTCGACTTTTTGATCTTCTCTTTGCGGACGCGGAGGACCCGGAACAGGCGATGCTAGTTTCACGGCCGCTTGCTTCTCGAAGGCGTCATCAGAAGCGAAACGGAATCCCTTCAATAGCAGAAGCCCCTAGTATTGGGATAAATGAGCCGAACGATCCTGGACGTAGTCGAAAGAGAGGCAGGAGACCTTCGACGTTGCTTTTATCCAATGGCGAGAAGGAAGTTGATACTGAGGGTGTGGAGCTTGTGGAGAGGGATTGGAGTGGCTTAGATGACCGGCGAAATCAAAAGCGACCTCGCACTGATGAGGACTCTTCAGGTGTTCTGCATCGATTAGCTTCAGATTACTTCATCCTAGCAACCATGAAGAAGGAACCCCAAAACTTGTTATGCGGGAATGAGGATACTGCAGTTGAAGTGAAAGAAAAGAATGATCTATTTGGTCCAGGTCTTCGTGCGTGTAAACTCGAAACCGAGGCCTCTTCAAAGACAGAATTACCTGAAAACCTTGCCACAGTAGGGAAAAAGGAGGATTTCAACCAAGAAGACGATGATGAGGATGAAGAAGATGAAGGTAAGGAAGGAAATATTGAAGAATACGATGCCGACGAAGCTTCTGAACAGCTGATGGAGGACGCAAGCGGATTGCCACCTCTGTCGCCTAGTAATTTCTCTCCCGTGGAAACATCAGAAGATGAGCCAGAGGTCGAACTATCTGTCGATAATACAGTAATGAAAACAACTCGTGGTCCGAAGGCGGGTAAGCTTCAGGCTAGTTTTAACACATTTAGAATATTGCTCCAGAACTTCTTTGCTAATTTTCCTTCTGCGCAATTTTTCTCCTCTTCAACATTTTCTGTCATACAAACGAATTGGTGACGACATTTTTCACTTTACCCTCAGAATTTCACCTGTTTATGTTTGAATAAGAATAATTCTTTTAAGAGCTCGAAACCTTTGGCGACCTAGACAGGACTTAACCGCAGCTCCGGGGTATAGGACCTCATACAACGATGAAAA